ACTGAATAAATGTTTGTTTCTTTTCATCTTTCTTTGTGAGGCTGAATATGCTGAGATGCAATTACTTCTGTAATATCTCATGGGGTTTCCTAGGTGCTGTGTGTTCTGTGGGGACCTGATGCCTGTATTTTAGGAGAGAGGGAGGAGGAAGAGAGTTCTCGATAGAGAGAGTAGGTACAGTGGGAAATTTAACAGCCATAAAGATTTCCTGGCTAAGCCTAAGGAAATAATCATTATCTATCAGTGAAGTTAATTATGTGATCCTCTTATATTAAAATATTTAATGACCTGTTGCGCCATACTTCTAAAGCCAGTAACTTCTGGTGTTTTTCTTTTTATTCTTATAAAATTATCTTAAGTGCCTGTGACAGGTCTTGTGATTTTCCCTCAAGTTTTGTATTATCCACAAATTTGCTAAATACAAGTATCTTTTGTTATGCAGGTGTTTGGTTCTGAGCTCTGATTGTAAGCCTGGATAATGAGGAATATCATCTGAATTTGCTTGCTTGCTAAATTTCAGGTAGTGACTAGCAAGAATTTTAGTCACTACCTGACTAGATGAAAAATTCATCTACCTATATGAAAAATTTATGAACATTTAAGTTACACTAGTAAGGGATACCTGTATACCAGGGTTCCTCAGCCTTTGCACTATTGACATTGAGATCAGATGACATTTTATTATAGAGGACTGTTCTGTGCATTGCAGGATGCTTAGCAGCATCCCTACCCTCAGCTGGCTAGATGCTAGTAGGATATTTCCCCTCCCCCAGCAATTGTAACAAACAAATATGTCTGCACAATTGTCAAATGACCCTGGGGGCAAAGGAGGGGGCAGTGGAAGGTGGTCAGTTTGCCCCTGGTTGAGAACCACTGCTGTATACCATTGCATAACTAAAGTTATAGATAATGTGAAACTCACAAGAATAGCAACAGCTATTATAGCCACATAGAGGTACTTCATTTTGTCAATTGCATGAAAATGATTATTAAGGAAGCAAAATACAAATAAAAGAGGAAGAGATTGGCTTTACAAGATAAGCACAAAAAAGGTCAATTTTTACATGAAAAGACTATCACATATTAAACCTTATATGATAGCTGTTTCCTTACACTTGGTTATTTACTGCCTCTTCCATTTGCTGTTCTCTGGAATTACTGGCAGTGCTGATTTTTAGGCTCTCTTAGTGCCCAGAGAGACAGTTACACGTCACCAGCTGGTTCTTCCTTACTGGTTAAAATTCCACTTCAGCTAACCCTTTCTTTTTTGTTACTTTGAGGAGTTGAAATTTCATTAAGGCAAAGATTTATCAGAGGATGTGCTTTAAGCAGCAATCTGGATGGGGTTGCCTGTCACTCTTTGGCCTCTGTGCAGGTTTGGTAATTGATACTGGAAAATATACCATTCCTCTAACTGGGGAGTCTATGTGCTGTAATCCCTTCATTTTCTTTTTTCTGGTTCCCTTTTAATTTTTTTAATTATTTTTATTAATTATGCTATTGTATTTGCCCCAGTTTTTTCACATTTGCCCTCCTCCATCCAACCCACCTCCCCACTCCCTCAGGCAATTCTCACATGTCAATGGGTCATGCATATGTGTTCTTTGGCTATGCTATTTCCTGTGCTGTACTTTACATCCTTGTGACTATTCTGTAACTACCAATTTGTACTTCTCAGTCCCTTCACCTTTTTCACCCATGTCACTGATGCCCTCTCATCTGGCAATCAACAAAACATTCTTTATCTGTTACGGAAAGCCAGACTCAAGACACGATTCAGGGAACGGAGTAAGCCTTTATTCACACGCGCGGGCTCAGAGGAGGCAGTCTCCAAATTCTGAGCCCCGAATAGGGGTTAGATAGGGGTTTATAAGCCCTAGCATTCCGGCGGGAAACGGATGGGCGGAAGGGATTAGCATTCAGGTGGGAGATTGATGTGCTACCCCAGGCGGGGGAAGGGATGTGAAAACGGGCTACAGAAGCAGATAAGCAATGATTAACAGTTAACCTGGGAGGGGGTCTCTGGCTAGGCTGCTCCTCCCAAGTCATCTTGCCCTTATCATATCTATGATTCCATTTCTGTCCTGCTTTTCTTTTCTTTTGTTTTTTAGATTCAATCATTGCTAGATATGGGTTGGTTTTTTTTGTTTTTTGGTTTTTTTTGCCATTTTACTGTTCATATTTTTGATCACCTTCTTAAAGAAGACGCTTTAACATTTCATATAATGCTGGTTTGGTGGTGATGTAGTTCTTTAAGCCTTTCTTATCTGGGAAGCTCTTTATCTGTCCTTGGACTCTAAATGATAGTGTAGCTATATAGTGTAGCTAGATAGTGTAATCTCGGTGGTAGGTTCTTGCTTTTCATCACTTTGAATGAGTATTTCTCAATAATCCCTTTTAGGCTGCAAAGTTTCTTTTGAGAAATCAGCTGACAGTCTTATGGGAGGGCCCTTGTAGGTAACTAACTACTTTCTCTTACTGCTTTTAAGATTCTCTCTTTGTCTTTTACCATTGGCATTTTAATTATGATTTGTCTTAGGGTGGACCTCTTTGGGTTCATCTTATTTGGACTCTGCACATCCTGGACTTGAATGTCTATTTACTTCACCAAGTTAGGGAAGTTTTCTTTCATTATTTTTTAAAATAGATTTCCAATTTCCACGCTCTCTCTTCTCCTTCCGGCACCCCGTGATGGGAGTGTTGGTACGCTTGAAGTTGTCTCAGAGGCTCCTTACCCTCTCATTTTTTTTTTTGGATTCTTTTTTCTTCTTGCTGTTCTGATTGAGTGTTTTTTGCTTTCATATATTCTAAATCACTGATTTGATTCTTGGCTTCATCCACTGTACTGTTGATTCCCTGTAAATTGTTCTTTATTTCAGTTAGTGTATCCTTTGTTTCTGACTGGATCTTTTTTATGGTTTCCATGCTTTTTTAATGCTGTTGAAGTTCTAACTTAGTTCTCTGTGTATCCTTACAACTGTTGTCTTGAACTTTGCCTCTAGTAGCTTTTGTGAACTTTGCATCTAGTAGCTTGCGTGTCTCCATTTTGTCTAGTTCTTATTCTGGAGTTTTGTTCTGTTCTTTCATTTGGACCATGTTTCTTTGTCTCCTCATTTTGGCAGCCTCCCTGTATTCATTCTGTGTATTAGGTAAAGGTGCTACGTCTTCCAGGTTTGGTAGAGTGGCCTAATGTAGTAGATGTCCTGTAGGGTCCAGTGGTACAGCCTCCCCTATTACCCAAGCTGGGTACTCAGGGTGCGCCCACTGTGGGGGCTGTGTACACCCTACTTTTGTAGTTGAGCCTTGATTGCTGTTGGCACATCAAAGGTCAGCCACTGCATGGGTTCTGTCCAAGGTCACACAGCATAAGCTACAAAGTGATCTGCAGATGGCTGTTACTTGTGCTGGGCTTACAGGTGGCCAGGTGAGGCTAAGCCGTGAACCAAGGCTGGCTGCCAGGCCTGAGGCCATTTAGCAAGGGGTATGAGGCTTGCTGAGGCCAGATGCTCCTTGTTTGAGAGGATTTAGGAAAATCTGAAGCATGAGCCAATACAAGCCATTAATATGGAAAAGCCACTGGCAACAGTTTTGGTTATCTTTCCATTTTCTCCTGTAACTTCCCTCATGTGTTCTCTATTATTCTTGCATAATAAGTGGCAGATTAATGCCTTCTTATATATATTGCTGTTCTCCCTTCCTGTGAGCTTTTTACTTCAAAGGCATTTATTTGTATTGCTTTCATCAATTTCCACCATTTTGTGAAATTCAAAATATCATTTCCATGCATATGAAAAAAGTCATCCATTTTGAAGGTGAATAGAATGTGAGGCTGTTGAATATATATATATATATATTTTTTTTTTTTTTGTAAATTCATGACACCAGTGTGTTACAGTTGTATGAATACAGAATTAGTCTGGCTAAATGACTGCAGCTTCCCAACTACCTTGGTGTATTGCTAAGACTTTTAGATCTTTAGACATTTTTTTCTTTTATGCATACTTGGCATTACACTTCTGAAATATACTTATTTTATATGTGCAAAGCATCATATTACTAAATTTATAACATTTTAGTGAACATACTTTTTCTCAGTGGTATAATTATCAGTACTTTTATATTTTTTTTTTCCTTTTTATTGAATTTATTGAGGTGGCGCTGGTTAACAAAATTATACAGGTTTCAGGTGCACAGTTCACAACACATCATCTCTGCACTGTATTGTATGCTCACCACCCGAAGTTAAGTCTCCTTCCATCACCATTTATTCCCCCTTTACCCTCTTCCACCTCTCTCCACAATCCCTCCCTGCTCTGAAATCACCACACTGTTGTCCGTGTCTATAAGCTTTTTCTTTTTTCTTTTTTGCTCTATCCCTCCACGTCTGACCCACCCCTCCAACAGTCCCCTGTAGCTGTCATCCTGCTCTATGAGCCTGTCTCTGAGCCTGTCTCTATTTTGCTTATGACTTACATATTGTTGATGCCCTGTCCCAATTAAGTAATCTATATGTAAATGAGATATATAGTAATTTTGACCAAAAATTTACTTTATATTGAAGACACTGTGCTTTTTTATACTATTACTAGCATATTTTTAGCACAGAAATAATTATAAATAAAAAAAATTTGTTATATTGTCGTTTTGACAATATTTCTTATATTGAAATTTTCACTGAACTAAGTTTATATATCTTAGGAACTAGAAATTTTCCCTTCATGTGTGCCAGAAGAGGAGCAAGTAGTTTTGATAATGAAATGACCTTACAAAACTATTTCTAGTGCAGCTATAATAATTAAGAATTGAATTGAGAAGGAAGGAGAAGAGAATTAGTTGTTTTTCTTCTTTGAATATTGGTATTTTGTGTAATGATGGCAGCAGAAAGCTACAAGATCATTCTAATTTACCTGTTGTTTTTTTTTCTGTGCATTATCTAGAACTATATATTTTAATCTGTCATATTCAAAATAATGGAAATATGATTTTTATTTTCATGGTAGGAGATGGAATAAACTGAGACTGCAGGACAAAGCGAAGTGTCTGAAGCTTGAAGATGATTCTGAGGAAAGTGATGCTGAATTTGATGAAGGTTTTAAAATACCAGGTTTTCTGTTCAAAAAGCTTTTTAAGTATGTGCCATGTGTTCTTTCCTTTGTATCTGTCATCAAGCCATTGTGAGCAGATTAATATTTTAGGAGTTACACAGTAGTTACCTGTGGGCCCTTAGGTACTTGCAGCAGTTTATTGCAAATGCAGACACTGTCAAATGAAATTTTAGCCACATGCTGTTCATTAAAATTAGATGATAATAAATTGACTAAAGTGTGCATTGGGTATGTTTATAAACTGATGAATCTATATGGACCTACCTTAGCAGGCTAAAAGCAACATATTTGAAAGCCATCAACATTGAGTTATTTTTTTTTTGTTCTTAGTAATTTTAAGGAGCCAAATCTCTAATTTATTAAATCAGATTAACTAAGCAAGAAGAGTTGTATATTAAAATCAGCATTGAGAGGTTTTCTTCTGTGTGGAAATAGAAAACTCTTTAGATTATTTTCAGAGTGCCCTATTTTGTACCTAAGGGTGTAATACTGAGCTGACCAAATGCGCATCTAAATATTTTATGCCCGTGTTCTGATGTCAGAAAAGATGTAGGCAAACACCTTCAGGACCAAGTTGCTATTTGAATCTGGCTATGTTTCATATGTGAGGTGGCCTCAGTGCTATAGATAACTGGACGATGCATGCCTAAAGACTTCAAGGTCTGGGCAAGTCTCTCGTGATGAATGTAAATACTGAGGCATGTTTTCAATCTCATCACTCTCGGGACTTACTTAACAAGGTACTTCAGGAAGACTTCTTAGATGCGTATAGGAGGTTTAAACCATTAAATAACTTCTTTTTGTCTCTTGTATTATCACTTGGTTAGTTGGGTGCAGGAAGCAAACTTCTTTCTTCAAGATGGTTATGTTTAATGTTCTTCATAGATTTGTCTGTCAGCCATGCTTTAAACATTTGCAGGATGTCTATTGAAAAAACATCCTTTTTATATTTCATCTCAAAGAGTTTTTATTTATAGTTTTAATTTTTCTTGGAGTGTTGGGGAGAAAACAAGGATGGGGAGAGTTATTTTATCCTATCAAATATATAGGAAAGCTGATTCTTAATGAAGTGTCTTGGTTGGGTTGCCAAACTGGATGGAAGAACTGTAAAGAAATTACAGATATTTTATAGCTTGGAGAGATGGCTACTTAGTTTATTGCTTTTTCCCCAAATGAAAATTAAGTATGGGAAGGTAAATGAAGACATTTGTTGGCAATTCTTTCCATCTTAGCTTTCTTCTCTAAAGCAGCTGCTTATTAGTAACAGGTTAGATAATATCAGTGTTGTACTAGCAAAAGGAATACCCCAATTACAGGTTAAATTGACTTATCAAAGATAAGATACTTTTACAGGTATAATAAATGATTTGGCAAATACCCTCAAAACTCAAGTTGAATGTGCATTTTTTTAATAAATGTGAGATTTTCTAGCAAAAATTTTGCAGTTAGTATAACCAGACGTTGCTTATTAAGAATATATATGATTCAGTGATTGGACTATTACCCTTACTGGAGTTAATTTAAACACGTTTGTTAGTTTTTTAATTTATCTTGATTGCACATTCCTGGAAAGTATTTTGTTTTTCTCTCATCTCTCAAAAACAGGATTTAAATATTTCATAAATGTTATAAAACTTCTCCTGTTCCTTTTTCTTCTGCTGTATGAGAAAAGTAATAGGATTGATTGTCTCTATTTTTCTTCTATGATTAAATTTTAGGTAGGCCAATTTAATTTTAAACTATAGATATATATTTTTACTGTATTTACTGTACTCTGTGGAATTAAATTAACAGGGTATTGTACACAAGGGAGTCAGAAAGTGCAATTACCCATTTAAGTGCTGTTTTCTGGAAGATCATGTTTAACTTTCAAAATTCTGTTTTGAAAGTTTGCCCAGCAAATGCATTCATTTGTGTAATTGAGCAATTGAATGACAAACCTTACTCTTCTGACTTACCTTTGAGCTACACTAGTAAATACATTCTTGGATTAGTGTGACAATGCCAAGATATACCAATTATCTATGGTTATTTTGTGGTGTTTTGGTGTCATGGGAGAAGCATTGCATAATAATTGCTTTGCTGTTGTACAGTAGTTTGTAAAAACGTTTAACTTGCCCTAAAGACCCCCAGCAGATGCCTGAAATTGTGGATAGTCCCAAACTTTCCCCTTTTCCCTCCTCTTTGGCACATCTGAATTGCCAGCATCACTACTTTTGTGCCTAGGAACCATTATTAAGTAAAATAAGGTTGACCTGAACACAGGCTCTGTAGTATCTCAACAGTGGATGTGGTAGCTGAGAGAGCTAAGTGACTAAGGGGAGGGGAGCATTTATAGTACATATGCACCGGACAAAGGGATGATTTATGTCCCTAGAAAAATGGAATGGGAAGACCCTAGATTTCATCATGCTACACAGAATGGTGTGCAAATTTAAAACTTATGAATTGTTTATTTTTGGAATTTTCCATGTAATATTTTTGGACTTTGATTGACTGCAAGTAATTGAAACTGTGGAAAGTGAAACCACAGATAAGAGGGGGACTACTATACATCAGATTTTTTGGAGAGTTTTTTGAATGCATCTTTTTCCAAAACTGGGAGTAATGTAAGTTAGCCAGTTCACAGCCAGCTCTCTAGAACTGCATTTCTCACTTTCAACACAACTTGTATTTCGAGTTGTGAATAATTCTTTCTTGTCAGGGCCATTCCTTTGCATTGTAGGGTGTTGACCAGCATCTTTGGTTTTTACCACTACATAACAATGACAGTTTCTCAATTTGTAACAAACAAAAATGTCTGTAGGTAGTGCTAGATGTCCCCTAGGGAGCAAAATAGCCCTGTCCTTGAGAACCACTGGTCAAGATTATCTGTAAAGTGGTTTGGAATCTGAGGTTCTGGACTTCAACCTGGCTTGCTCATTTTTTCTCAGCAGTGTGACCTTTGGCAAGTTACTTAACCTCTCTGTGCCTTCATTTCCTAACTGAAAAATGGGCTGGTCACCTCCCTGCAGGGTGGTTTTGAGACTATAACCAAATCGCATGGCCTGGTGCCTCCCTGGCAGTAGGCTCTAGGTACGATCCTTTAGTGGTTGCCATTATTCTCTAGTTGTGTGCAACATGTTAGTGGAACTTACACTTCTTCCCAAATTAAGTGATCTTTTATCCATATTGCACTTACTATGTTTTGATTTGTAATCCTTTTTTCCAGTGTGCAAGCAGCAAAATTATCCTTCAGAGTTTTGCTTACATGGCAGATAATTATGGCAACAGTTGAGTCAAGCTTTTGGAACTGATTTGCAGAAAATGGGAAAAGTTAATAATGACATATTTACTCAAAGAAGATTAAGTAAAACTAGTTCAACAGGGACTGAAGTTCAGAGCGAGATTTTAGATTTTAAGTAGACATACTGTGTGCCAAATATATAGTAAACTTTTGGTCAGTAACACAATAAAATCATTTTCTTTTGAGGTGGGAGGCTCATTAGACTTGGTATTTTCCTTGGAAAAAAAAAATCCTTTGGATTTCATTGTCTTTTAACTCAGGTGTGTTTTGCTTTAGATTTTTTTTCTTAACCTTGGCATTTAATCTTTATACCATTCTGTGATGTTAAATCTTTCACTCCCCCCAAAATTTTTTGCCTTATTTTTTTTTAAACTTCATCTTTAGATTGTAGATTAAACATGACATTGAGAAAAGAACTTTTTTTAAAGAGGGGACTGTGTTATTCTCTTTGACCTGTACTTCTTATTTATAAATTTTAATAGCTCTGGTATTTTTCTAGCTATGAAAAAATCCCTGAATCACATTCTGCTTTAAAATACCAAAAAGCCCTTTTGTATTGTTGAGTCTTTAAACTGTTCTTTTTTGCATCTGCTAGTAATATGACAGAATCATGTTATGTATTAATTTCATTAATTTATTAATAAATTATTAATAAATTTTATTAATTTGTGAGGAGCTTTATTACTCAGACTTGTTTATGGCCTAAAATTTAATTTAATTTTTCTTATAAAAAATGATAATGATTATCGAGTGACTTTTCAACAGTATATGCTGTAAATTGTGGCTTTCTCTGCCCTGCTTTTTGATGCTGTGCATGCCTGTTTTTATCATAGAAAAATTATTAGAACTTAAAAAACTAAAAATATGTAAGATATTTTCCAGAAAGATACTGAATAAAAGATAGTAAGTTTATGCTTGTTTACCAAGCTATTTTTAATGTTGTAAAAAATAAAACAGTCTCTACTTAACCCATCTGTCAGTTTAATTAGAAATGTGTTAACATTCTGTAAAGAAAAATTTGTGATTTTATGCCTAGGTAATCAAAAATGTATAACCTTATAAATATAATACTCATGTAAAACACACATCCGGCTTGTTTCTCTGACTGTTACTAGAACTTAGTGAAATGATTAATTCATGGGTACTCTCTGTTATGATCTGTATTATCCACCATTTGCCATTTTCTTTTTCTTTTTGGTGTTTGTTGTTGTAGGTACCAGCAGACAGGTGTTAGGTGGCTGTGGGAATTGCACTGCCAGCAGGCAGGAGGAATTCTGGGAGACGAAATGGGATTGGGCAAGACCATCCAGATAATTGCCTTCTTGGCAGGTCTGAGCTACAGCAAGATCAGAACTCGTGGTTCAAATTACAGGCAAGTGCTCCACTGCAGACTGTCAGTCTGTGGAGCTCAATTAATATTTCATCAGATGTATTGCTGTGGAGGAGGGTCTTGTGAATTATTGATGACATTTCAATTACAATATTCCTTTAATTCTTTTAGTGGGGGACATCAAAGAAAAATTTTTACGAGACAATGGAGCTGTAGGGCAGGAGAAATTAAACATGTAACACTTTTAATGAATTCCAGGCATTGAGCCTTCATTTTGCAGATGAGCCCCACTAGATATTTTGGGTCAATACAGTTGTCTAAGGTTAGCTTTTACAAATGGATTGTTTACAAACTCAATTATGTTAATATCAATAGTTTACACAATATGGAATTTTAAATTAGACATAATACTTTTAGTTCCATTTATTAAATTTTATATTAAAATATTTCTTTTGGCAGGAGACCAGGTGAACATTACAGTAAGTACAGAGTCTTTTCATGGGGAAAGTTGGAGCTTTTGGAGAAGCCATTCTCCTGAATTTCTTTTATAATCAGTATGCATGAGAGCATTTGTAGATAGCAGTTTTCTTTTTAATGAAGTTACTTATCTACTCACTATGCTTTCTGCCCTCTCTCCAAGACTAAGAATTTTATATAAATTCTAAGGCCAAAACCTAAATGACTATCTAAAATGCTAAAATGATAGAAAACTATGTTTAGATTTTAGTCTTTATTCTCTTTAGGAATTTAAATAAACTATTAAAGCTATAGTATTCTGAAAGAGGAACCATTTTAAGCTGTTAGCTCAGTATGGTAGGACTGAAATACTTTATGTTGTAATCAGTGCAGTGACTCTTTCCATATTTAAGCTGTAAATTTGCTTTATGTGATCAGTATTGGTAAAAAATAATAGTGGGTAAATTAGGAGGGTTATTTAATCTTGAACCCAGTTAATCTGAGAGCTTCTTAGATTCCAATAGGTTTTTCTAAGGAATAACAGAAACACATTTACCACCAGATGGGTTATGTGGTAGAAACGTCATGCACTCTCTAGGTAAGATTTGGAGACACCTTTAAAATAGTATCAGTGTGCCTAAAATGAGCCACTGCAGGAAGCTCCTGTGTTATATTCTGGTTCATCGACAGACAGGTGTTTAGTAGATAGCCAAATACAAATTATAAACTATTAAGAGCTTTTTATTTTAATCTTCAGAGTTTAGTGTTTTGTTTTTAATCCCTTACTCTTGTATTAATTTTTCAGACCTACCCTTCTTATGAGGTGTATTTAAAGTTTTAGAATATTTTAGAAATACATAAATGTGGGAAACATAAAATACATTTGGAGATTTTAAAATACTAAATATTTTATTGTTATTACAAGGAGGTTGGTTACATTGAAGCAGAGATTTTCCTTCAAATATTAGAATTCTGTTACATTTTGCCTGGAATCAGGTGAAGTCATTCCAGCCTAAGGGAAAAGTGAAGTTGAAGATGTGCATTTCATGTTTTCTTTTCTATGACTGCCGTTAATTAGTTTATTATTTGTAAAAACGCTTTCTGTGTTTTAAATAAGCTCTTGATGAGACTTACTCTGTAAATCTTTTTTTTTTTTAAATGAATAGAATGCTCTGAGCTGTCTCAAATGTTTTCTATTACTGTTGGTTTTTTTTTTTTTCTTAAATGATTTCTGGGATTTTCTTATTTCCCATGTCTTCCTTTCCTTTTCTGTTATCATGAAACTTGTGTGGAATCTAGTACTCTGGGCCTAGGAAACCTAAAGGCATCCCTGCAGTGTAATTTTGGTCTAAAAATTAAAACGTGCTCTCTTGAGTAGTGACAGTCCTACCAGGAGTAAAGTCAGGGCTAAAATGAACAACAGCTGTAATCAATTAACTATCAATGCTCATACCCTCTTTTTCCATAATGAAATAGTGTGGCATGTTGGACTATAGCCCAGATTATCTTCATTAAAATAGTATTGGTAGAAGGGACTGCCCAGACTGTGGTTATATATCATAAAAACAACTGGGCTCTTTATGGAGAGAGGTGTACTGAGGGGTCCCCTCCACTTCGTGGGCCAGAGCAAATTGTTTAGCACTTTTATAACGTGTCCTCCTTTGAAACTAAATGAATTTGGAGTTTCCCTCTATGTTTATATCCTAAGGAAAAAGGGTCAGATGAATAATCAAATGAAGTTCAAATAGAATTGAATTGTCAAGGGCTGTGAGTGGGCCTTCATTGGCTGTGCACATTTCTTCTGAACTCCTACAAGCTGTAGATTTTTGGGCCCTAATTTGAGATGGTTTTAGTGTTGCAATTTTAAGGTTTATGATCATTAAAATAGTAGAGATCTCTGGGATACCAAGAAGAAACTTTATAGTAAAAGAAGTTTTTGGGGTTTTTTTTTAATGTGTTTTGAAGAAGGAGAAGCATATTACATATGGTTAATAAAAATCTATCCTGGTTGTGTTCCCAGTTTGTAATGTACATACTATCTTATTTTCACTTTGCTGTTCATATTATGATAGACCACCCCACCCCTAGGTTTCATGATGGAGAGGAAATAAATGATTTATCTTTCAAACATTAGTTAATACTTTAAAGTCTTGGTTATTATTTAGTAAATTCCTAATTACAAGTAAATGGCCTGAAAAAGTTAATAAACTTTCAAAAGTAAATATTTTTGTAATTTTTGAGAGGCTCTAGGTTATGAATAGCAGATTTCTATCCTACAGACTGAAATATTTGACCCTGGAACTATTGGCTTGTCCTAAATTCATTAGGTATAAACAGTGATAATCAAAGATGAAAGGAATTGTAGCCAGTTTGGTAATTGATACTGTAATCACTGTAATACATTTAGCCATTTCGAATGGCATCTCACCAGTGTTGAGGGTTTGAAAAGGGTAGTGTCATTGATGTGACTGTTAATGGATTTGATGCCCCTTCTGTGGTTCAGAAACAATGAAGGTCTGCTCCTCAATGTCCACTCAGTCTGAAACCTCCACCGTCTTCTGATAAGGGGAAAATGGCAGAAATTAAAGGGAGTAATAATGTCAGATAGATGTTCAGCCAGAATAAAATACTGGCCTTAAATGACAAAATGTGAGTCATTGCAGCGGTTTGCAGAAAGCATGTTAGAAAAACATGCTGTATAACCTAAATAAAAACATATGTGTATTTATTTGGAAATGAGTTTGTTTTTAACTATTTCAGACAGGTTTTATCGGTTGTTTCCTAATCCTTGTTAATTAAGTACATATTGATGATAATTCTTGTTTCCCTTGGAGAATAATGCTGGTGCATTTAATCCTTTTACAAAGGAATATTGTCTTGGAAGGTACCAGGGTTGAGTCAACGCCCTCCCCTGGAAGCCTACATGGTACCTGTCTTGGTGAGAAGCAGAGAATTTATTAGGAGTTTTGCGGCAAGTGTCAGAGCTCTGGCTTCTGCAGTCTCAGCCCTTTCTGCAGAGCAGGAGGTGGGACACTGTAGCTAGAGGTTGAAGGGATCAGGGGTAGATGGTGGCATTTTGTCACACTGGAATATAAGAGTAAGCCTCATTTAAGTTACAGCTTGTTTTTTTATTAGAACTACAAGGTATTTTCCAGTTTTGCAGAAGATTTTTGCACACAGTGCTTGAAATATTTAAACGTTTATAATTTTTAATTTTTTTAAATTTTAATTTATAATTTTTTAAAGTTTAGTATCATTGAGATGTAGAAAGATAATAAAAATCACCCATGATCCCCCAATTCAGAAATGATCTCTTTGAACATTTCAATATATTCCAGTCTTCCAACAATATTTTCATTTATTAAAACCAATATTCACTAGTTACCTCCTGTGGTTTAGGCATTGAGATCATTTGAAGAGACACACTCTCTCTCTCTACTTTCAAGGAGCTTAGGAAAGCTCTAATACCCAATTGCAATAAGGGATACGATAGGGTTACTATGGTGTTCTAATTAGTGTGGATGCACCGAAGAAGGGTCCTTAGCCCTCCTGGAGAGAAAAGGACAGAGGAGATGCTAAAGAAAAAGCCAACATCTGAAGGACAAATAGGTAACTAGGATAAAGCTAAGAAGGGGCAAGGCAAAGGATGAGAGATCAGGGTTATGTTCTTTGTAGTAACTGAAGACAGTGCTAGCAGGTGGAGTGCTGAGCCTCAGGGGCAAGTGTTGGGATGGGTCAATGAGAGGCTGAAGGGGTAAGATGAACAGAGGTCAGATCCTCATGGGCTCATAGGCCAGGTTACAGTGTTTAACTTTCCCAGGAACAACAGGCAAACATTAAAAGGCTTTTTAAGCAAAGGGATGAAGCATTCAGATTTTGCTTTTTGAAATGATCAGGCTAGAATGTGCAATAACCCAGGTAGGAGATGATAGTGGCCACAACTGGAGTATCAACAGGATAGATGGAAAGACAAGGTGTCTTTGAGAGGGATTTTTAGGAGGCAGATTTTATTGGAACTCTACAGATTGTGGATATGATAAAGAACACGAGGGGCCGACCAAGGATGAGGCCTGGATTTCCAGTTTGGGCACCTGGAGAATAGGTGACAATTCTTAGGAAACATGAGAGGAGGGCAAGGTGGGGGAAGATGATGCCATGGAGACATATATGTGGAGATATCAGCCAGCAGATAGACTTCCAAATATTTTGGAGTTCAGGAAAGAGACCTGGGCTGGACTGGAGACCTAGAATTGGCATCATCAGTGTAGAGAGTAATTGAAACTGGGGGAATTGAGATAACATGGGGGAAGTATGTGCAGTGTGCATCTAACTTTACATATTCAACACCAGTGTTGGACAGAAGAAGGTAGGAGAAGGGAAGAATGACAGTTTAAAAAATGCCATTGAGTGCTCCAGAATGAGGGAGAGGTCGGCCATTTGGGTCTGCAGTCTTGGCTCCCAGTTGACTCTTGTAACAGGAACTGAGGGGGTCTAGTGTTGAAGAGATTCCTATAGTTAGTATGACTTGCTTAATCATCTCATGCACTTAGGTGAAGCAGCCACGGTGATGGGAGTGTTGCTGCAGTAGGGCACAGGCTCAGAGCAAGGCAGAACGATTAGTCTCATACTAGAGAAGGGACACTTGTTTCATTGTAACAGGAGGGAAGTGGAGGGCAGGATGGTATAGATTCAGTCAGGTACCCATGAGGTACAATGCATCGGGATATTTTGACAGTAATTAAATAAAACCTGGTCTCAAATTGGGTTAAATGTTCACAGTATGTGTGCTATACCTAGAAACCACAGGAGTGGGCTGTAGACACAGCATGATCAATATGTTGGAGATGTCATCAGGGACCCAGGTACTTAAATTTTCCCCTACGGCCAGTTCTCCTTGTGGTCATAAGATTTCCTTGCACTGTAGTCCAAATGCTCAGTGGCCATTGGGCTGTTTACATATTCACAAGCAGCAGGAGAGACCTAGAGAGAAAACTCTCCCCTCAACCTCGGAGGTACAGTAGTCCCTCCATATCAGAGGAGAATATGTTCCAAGATGCCAGTGGATGCCTGAAAGCTTGGATAGTACTGAATCCTATAGATACACTGTTTTTCCTGTACATACATACCTCTGATGAAGTTTAATTTATAAATTAGGCCCAGTAAGCAATTAATAACAACTAAAAATAAAATAATTGTAACACTATATTCTAATAAAAGTTAAACAAATGTGGCCTCTCACGCAACATATCTTACTGTACTGTACTCACCCTTCTTTTCCTTGTAATGATGTAAGGTAGTACAGTGTGTACATGGTGAGATGAAGTGAGGTGAATGACGTAGGCGTTGGGACGTAGCATTAGGCTACTTTAAGGGTTACTTAAACACAGTACTGAGATACTACAATAGTCAGTGTGATAACCCAGATGGCTACAAAGTGACTAATGGGTGGGGAGTGAACACAATGTGGATACGCTGGACAAAAGGATGATTTATGGATAAGCCGGACTGAGAATTCATCACACTACTCATAACAGTGTGCAATTTAAAACTTATAATTTTTTTTTCTGAAACTTTCCATTAATTTTCTTACTGAAAGCACAGAAAGCAAAACTGCATATAAGGGGGGACTGCTCTAAGTTCTTCCTTACACTGATGAGCCAGTCTTCTCAGGCCCCTTAGGGGACTGGTGAGCATTGCCAGGGGAATGGTGTGTGCCGGCAGTCTGGAGAGGAACCAGGATTCCTGCTTCTCCCCTCTTCGCTATAGCCAGACAAAGCCCAGAGTCCCATCAGGTCCACGTCTGGGAAGGAAGAGTGGATACCTGCACAAAAAAAAACGGTTAGGAAGGAGAGAGAGGAGAAAGACATGTTCAGATAGTGGTCATGACCAATCTATCAGTTACCTATGTGTAAGTGAATTGGGGTGATTCCATAAATAATTTTGTTTTTTAAGAGACTTAACTATGAACATTTTCCTGGTTTTTAAATATTCTTCAAAAGGAATATTAATGATTATGTGATATTCCATCTTATTTAACAAGCTTTTATATTATTTGCTGTATGGTACTGTTGGAAGCATGTTATAGATATTAACTGATTTAATCTATATAACCCTATATGATCATTATATTATTATTCCCACTTCAAGATGAGAAATTGAGGTTCAGAAAGATTAAATAATGTGCCCATGATCACAGAGTTAATATATGTGCAGAGCTGGGATTCTGACCCAGGCAGTGCTCCTAACCACTGGCCTATGCTATATTAAAGGATGGGATGGTTTATTCGACCCTTCCCTTATTTGTGGATGTTTAAGTAGAAATAGGAAATAAATAGAGAAGATAGGCCCACTTTTTCTACAGTGCAAATAATGCTGCGATGTGTATTTCAGTACGTAAGTGTTTCTTTGGGATTGCTGGGTGAACATGTGACTGTTGTTAAAGCTCTTACTATACAGTGCTCAGCTGTTTTCCACAAGAACAGAGAAGGCTGCAGTTGACTGGCATGGGCTTGTTCTAGAAATAGTAGCTATGATGATCCTCCACTTGTTCTTTACCACATAGAGGAGCAAGCAGCATGATGTTGTAAAAGAACAGGCTGCAGCTTTCAGAAGACTGACTTGTAGGCATTGCCCTCATCTCCTGGTAACCACACTTCATTGGACACATCAACCTTATGGGTTTCAGACACTGGAGCATTTTTTTGTCCTGCTTATTTTCCAGGGCTGTGAGGTTGGTTGAAATTCTGTGGGTGAAAACTTTGGTAGACTCTAAAGGGTCAAAGAAATGAAAGATACTCTTATGTGCACTTGGTTTAGGATACATTGTACAATACCTTCACTAATTGGGAATAAAGGAGGGAAGAAAAGTTTTTATTACATAATTTTTATTTGAAATTGTTTGAAATTCTTTACTTTAGATGTTATCTTTTTAATATATTAGCTCTTGTTTTCTTTTAATACCTGCATTCACTAATTGATGAATGGGATCGTAGAGATTTCACTTACTGCATTTTAACCTCAGTAGCTCCTTCTATAAAGAAAATATCAGTAAATTTCCATAGTAGGATTTTCTTTTTTAAACTTGTTTTTGTTTGTTTCGTTTTTGATTTTTGGCATTTAATCATTCATATGTTGTCATTTATGGTTGTATTTTCTTCTTGGATGTTTGGTTGCAGGTTTCAGGGTTTGGGTCCAACTATAATTGTCTGTCCAACAACAGTGATGCATCAGTGGGTGAAGGAATTTCACATGTGGTGGCCTCCGTTCAGAGTGGCAATTCTACACGAGACTGGCTCCTCTACCCACAAAAAGGTAACATGACAGCACTTGAGTACATTTTTGTTTTGTCTTGAAGCCTTCCATTTTACCTTTTTTTTAAAAATTTTATTTTAATTTATTTTTTCAAATACATTTGTCTCTTCCATTTTACTTTGATGGAAGGCTTTACTTGTTTTTTCTTTGATACATGTATTTCTCAAATGTATGTTTCTGTGTTTCTTTTCATGCATTTAACCTTGTCACAGATTTAATTGGGAATTCTGTATTTGATAGGCCCTAATGGTGTTGAGACATGTTTGTTGTCCAGTGAAACAGCTGGGCACAGTGTGCGCAGCCTGAGAGCACAAGTGGGACCTTATGTCTGGGGACTATGGGACAGTTAACTGGCTGGATTGGGGGCATTAACAGTTTTAAACAGTTTTAGGACTTTTAGGAAGGTGGGTACAATACGTCATATAATAACTCTTAATTGGTAAGTGCATTTGTTAATATGCTTTTTAAACATGTTTGGTTCCCCCCCCATTTGTATTTATTTATTTATTTAATTTTTTCAAATACATTTGTCTCTGCCTCCCCCCCACCACTTTCCCTTGCCCCCTCCTTCCTTCCCTCCCTCAGCTCTTCCCCTTTGGTTTTGTCCATGAGTCCTTGCTATATGTTCCTTGACTTTCCCCTTCCCTTCCTTTTCCCCGCCCCCACTCCTTCCCTCTTGTTTTTAATGAACAAAGGAACAGCCTGCCATTTTGAGAATTTAAAAGTTTGCATTGTTGTTTTTTAGTTGTTTTTTGTTTTCTGAATCCTTGATCATCATGTAAGCATAATCATTATATTTTGATAGTTGTATTTCCTCACTTATTCATAGTTTTAGCCATATTATCTAAAAGGAGGTTTATCTGTGCTCCTATGGGTAGCATAGATATGTTGTATAATGCTTTTTTTATTCTCATCTGTCTCATCATCTGTAAGCGCCGTAGAGAGTAGGGACTGTGCCTTCCTCATTTTTTGTATCCCAAGTACTCTATAAACATTTGCCAAATAAATAATAATTACATTTCACTGTGGGTTTGTAGGTTTTTTTATTGACAAGAAGTAACAATTTATGATAAGCTCTTTCTTTCCTGAGTCTTTGGAGTTTGAGTGAGCACTCGTGCAGCCTGGGAAGGAGCTAGTGAAGGTTGGTCTTGCCAAGTTAGACGCGTGAGCCACTAAGCTCCAGTGTTTCTCTGATTTTGCTGATGCCCTTTCTTTCCAAATTCCCATCTTGTTTGTGATTATGAGTAATAGAACTTTTGATAGGAGTGAATCAGGAATATCTATAGTTTGGCAACTCAAGTTTGGTGAGATGGAATCTTATACTAGCTGTTGTTACAACCAGCTGACTTTGCCTTGAGTTTTACCTGATAAATGGAAAACAAACTGAGTTAAAATATAATGCTGTGATTAAAAAAGTGATTTTTTTTTAGAAGCATGGATGTAACAGTTTAGGTTGTTTTTTAGTCAGAATAAATTGTAACCATCCTGTCATCAGCCTTGTAAACACTTTTATTCCTTTTTTTCACTTCCATTGTCAATTGACATTTCTTCATGTTTTGTATTGCCAAATTCTGTAGAGGGATTCTTTAGTTGATGTGTTTGTCTTTAAAAGGCAAATTTTTCATATAGTCGTTTTTATCCTTTTATTTTCTTTGGGCTAGTGAAGTATATATAGTTCACACGTTCACCTGAATCATGGCTCACCTGCATTTTCTCTGTAATTATAACCTGAAGAACTATTTTCATGTAAATGAAATACATTGACTCATATTGGAAATAGAATTGACAATGATTGGTGTTTCTTGGTAAGGCTGGCTTCCTACTTGTTCAGAGGGCAAAAACTTGAAGAGTAGATATTTCACTTATATTTACAGTGATTCCACCTTCTAAGTTTGTTTTGCACACATAAACACATGCATACATATGATTGTTCATAATTTTTTGAGTTTTTACAGTTCACCAAGGACTTTAACTTGAAATTTCTTACTTCACTTTTGAGGAAAAGCAGTAAACTTGTGCTTTTACTCTGACCCTTAACTCTTTCTCCTATTCCTTTTTTGTTTTAAAATATCTTAGATCTATAAAGATAAAAGTTGTCAAGCAAAAGATCAAAATGATGTTCTCTTGCATCTTTCAAACCATACCTCTCGACTTAGATACACAGTTTATTATTTATTATTAATGCTAATATTGTACTATTTGTGATGACGACACATCAAATGTGTTAATTCCTTGCAGAGACCTTGTTAGTAACACTTCCAAGGTCAGAACTTGGCTTCTGGATTTAAGCACCCTCAGCTCTGTCCTTTTAAACTTGTATGTACAGATCTTTGCTACCTCATGCACACTTGTTAACTTACAGGTATGTTCAATTGCAATAGAATTTATGTTTCTTAATCGTATTTCAAGTATTTCATCAATACTGGTCTGATCTCTAACCCAGCATCTATTATCTGACATCCTTTTCATCCTATCAGCTGAGATTCCTTCTCTCCATGATGGAGCTTTCTGTGCGCACGGGCTGTCCTATCTAAATGTAATAGTGATGCTTTGGCATACGAACATTTGGTGCTGGGGAGAATTTCTCTTTAAAAATACTTGAAAGAGTAATGCCAGAATTGTTCTTTTTATCATTCAAATACATTATTTCCTAATGATTTTTCATAGATGGTATGATACAAAATTTTGAAGTTTTTGCATATGTAGAACATATTAAGTGATCAAACAATTTCTGAATGGAGAGCACATGTATTTTTCTTCTTTAAATAGCCTTTTAGAATAGTTTCCCACCTCTCTCACTGTTTTATATTATCTTTGTTAATATTCTCTTTCACAGTATAATTGAGAATTATCAAATAAACACCTAGTTACTACGCCAAAAAAAAGTGGCTATTGTTTTCAACCAAATGAGCCAATAAAGACATTTTAGTTTCTTGAATCTCCTTTAATGGTCAGTTGAAATCTTATTTAACGGGAGTCAGAAAGTTTTCCTTTCTCATTATGTTTTATCCCTTTTTTCAAACATAGAGAAACTTAATGTGTTAGTCAATTAGTATTTATTTATTGAATAACTGTAAACACAATATTCCAGGTTTTTGATGCTGTTAGGGCTCCCCAAAATGGGTATGTTGTTTTTAACTGACCCGAAAAGCTAACCATTTTTATCGGGAAAGAAAATACTGTGTTGGCCAGAACGCTTGTTCGGTTTTTTCTGTAAGTGCTCTACTAGTGTTTAGTTGTCTTTAACTTCATTGGAAACAATTTTGTTAGATTGTGTTGTGACAGCTGTCAAATCAGCATGCATTTAAAAAACCCTTAAAATTGGTGAATTTTTGTGTAGCCATTTTAATATTGGAGGTGGAAGAAAATACACATTTTCAGCATACTATGCTTTATTATTTCAAGAAAGATAAAAACAACTGACATGCAAGAAAATATTTGTGCAGTGTATAGAAAAGGTGTTGTTACTGACTGTACATATCAAAACTGGTTTGCGAAGTTTCGTGCTGGAGATTTTTCACTAGACGATGCTCTATGGTAGGTAGACCAGTTGAAGTTGATAGTGGTCAAATTGAGACATTAATTGAGAACAGTCAATGCTATACTATGCGGGAAGTAGCTGACATACTAAAAATATCCAAATTAATAAAGTTATTAGTGAAAATAAAAAAATGTGTATTTTATTTTATGGAAAAACTGTACAGACTTTTTGGCCAACCCAGTATATGCAAAGATAATAAAAGAGGGCATTTTTGTGATACTTACACCGTAACTTACAGTGGGTGGTGGTATCTTTAACATTCTGTTCTCAGGTTTATTTAATTATTAAAGACCCTTTTTTCTAATTTGTTGGAAGATGTGTAATGAAAAATTTCTTGCTTATATTCTGAAACAGTTGTCACATTATGTCTCTCCCACCTTACCCTTCTATGTAGGATATAATAATTCAAAGAGTTTTGTCTTATTTTGATCAGTTTTTGGCATTTAGAGGCTGAAGAGTGAGAAATACAACAATGGCACAAAGGGTTTACAACATAGGTTTTGTAATTACCAGACCAGGGTTTGAATCTTCGATCTGTCATTTCATAGATTTGTGACCTTGGGCAAGTCATTCAGTTTCTTTGAGCCCAATTTGATTTCCTGCAAAATGGGATTTTTTAGTAATTCTGTGAGGATTTGTTGAGTTACTATGTGTACATGAAAAGTTTACCTTTACTGTACAAGGTCTGTCCGGAAAAAGTCTGGTCATTGTTAATATAATGAGAACAGTTTGTACAACATTGATTTAACCTTACAGCCAAGGAGAGTGGAGTGGAATGCACATGTGCGAACCAATGTTACTTCACTGTACTAGTCAGTGGGGGGGGTAGACACTGTTGAGTGAGCATGTGTACCGTGTGGCCGTCACAGTGAAAATCAATGAGTAGAGCAACAAATATGTATCAGATTTTACTTTAAGCTTGAATATACCTCCATGGAAACTATTTGGATGATGCAGAAGGCTGCAGATATGGGCAGCTGGTGATTGGCAGCTTCATTACAACAACGTGCCCAGTCATGCATCACATCTCATACAGAGTTTTTTTGCAAAACATCAAATCACCTAGGTCACTCAGCAGTCCTACAGCCCCAATTTGACACTCTGCGACTTCTGGCTTTTCCTAAAACTAAAATCACCTTTGAAAGGGAAGAGATTTCAGACCATTGATAAGATTCAGAAAAACAGGATGGGACAGCTGATGGCAACTGGGAGAGCTGTGTGAAGTCCCCAGGTGCCTACTTTGAAGGGGACTGAGGTGTCATTGTCCTATGTACAGTGTTTCTTGTATCTTGTATCTTTTTCAATAAATGTCTCTATTTTTCATATTACATGGATAGATAACTTCTGGACAGACCCTGTATATTAGAAACAAAGACATTGTAGAGTTCTTTATCTCAGTGGTTGAGAAAATAAAGATGCTCTGGAATTTCTTATTGATTCCCTATAAATACATAAAAAA